ATGCTTCCCTAGGCACAGGTGGGGTCAGAACCGAGTCTCCGGTAAGAAAGGGAAAAAGTAGCTCAGCCACCTTCCTCTGGCATGCCTTTGTCCCACTGGTCACCCTCTTTCCTTCCTTGGATGGGCATTCTTGGGGGGAGCTAGTTCTGAGGAGCCCTGGTTCTCTCAGTCCCTGTCAGACTGTAGGTTCTCTTGGGACATCCTCTCTGTGTTCCTGAGCCAGTGAAAGCGGGAGGCCCTTCTTCCTCAGCAACCAGCAGAGGAATGGGTCTAGGTGGAAATGGCTGAAAGGCAGATTTTTATCTCAGAATAAGAAGAGGCTTAAAATGAGCACAGCCCTACCTGAAGTTAGCAGCAAGAGCCCCACAGTGGGAGGCTGTCTGGCAAGAAGGTTGCAGAACCTGTACCAGATAGAAGGTTGAACTGGATGGCATCAGTCCATTCAAACACTCGGTGACCCTGTCCTTCAGCCCAGCAGTGAGCAGATGGATGGGGGTTTGTGGAACAGAGAAAGTAGAAAGGCATCCGTGAGGTCTCTGCCCTCTTCCTCTTCAGCCCCTTTCACTTTCACTGACTGATACATAATGGTCCTAAAACAGCTTTCAGAGGCTCCTACTACACCGAGGCTTCACAGAGAGGCTTTGAAGTGCCCCCGTTCCCTCACCCTGGATGACACACATGGGGACTGTCACTGATCGGCACTAATGGTGTGCACACAGCCCTACTGGTCAGTCCTCATGTCTCCTTTGATTGTGGCCAAATAGACGAGTCTGCCCAGGCTCTGCCTGCCCTCCCAGCTAGCGCAGGCCTCGGGCTGCACCTGATTCTTTCCTTTCTTGGCTTCCCCTGCTCTTACCGGGACTTGTTTGGGGTTCCCAGGTCTTTAGGGCATCTCAGGAAATAGGCCATAGCAAATGGGGTACATCATCTTTTGGGGGCCATAGGAAGCAGCTGTTTGTGGCATTACTGGTCCCCCTTCCCTTCATTTTCTGCCACTGGCTGCAATGGCATGGCCCTACTGGACGTCGCTCCATAGGATTTCTAGACAGCCAGTCCTGGGGCCTGCTGGCCAGGGCGAGCTAGGCCTCTGTCATGGCAGCTGGGCACATTGGTCTCTAGCTCAATTCATTACGACAAAGGCCTCTGTGGCACAAAGTGAACCAAGTAATCATCAGTGTGGGCAGAGCCAGAGAAATAAGCCAGGATGGTGCCTGGCAGATCACCCTCCACAAACTCCTCACGGGAGCAGATGCTTCCAACATGACAGGGAGCTAGGGGGCATCACGTCCACTCAAATGGGCCTGTTGTTCTAGAAAATAGTTTCTGCTGAGCTAATCTGACCACCAAAATCATCCCTGAGGGGACTTCCAGTTCCAACATGGGACAGATAAGATAACCTGAAAATACTCCTGCTACAAACAGAAATGCTGGCTCAAGTAGAAATTCTTTTCAATGCAAAGCTAAATTTGCAGGAAGAGACAGAGAACTGCCAGGAGCTGGAGAACTGAAAACCCAAGTGGTCAGCATGGGAACTGGCTGTGGCTGCTAGGGGTAGGAAGGGGTGTGCGTGGATTGTTGGCCTTGAGTGTGAATGTCCACATAAGTGTGAGAAATAAGGCTCTGGCCATGCCCCATAGGAAGTTGGAAGTGGGACCTTGGGCATAAAGCTGGCACCTTGAAGGCTTCATCCTTCATAAAGAGGTAAGCTAGAAAAAGTTCCCCCGCTTTTGGGGGAAAAGTTTCTAGAGATGAGGGGAAACAGGTCCTGAGAGAATTTGCAACCATGCACAGGTTTGGGATTCAGATTTACACTGTGTCCAGGAACCCCTAGCCTGAGGAATTAGTGTAGAAATTAGCCCAGAGAGGGGCGCTTGCGTGGCTCAGTTGGTTCAGCGTCTGACTTTGACACGGGTCATGATCTCACAGCTTGTGAGTTCAAGCCCCACATCGGGCTCTGTGCTGATGGCTCAGAGCCTGGAGCCTGCTTCAGATTCTGTGTCTCCCTCTCTCTCTCTGCCCCTCCCCCGATCATGTTCTGTCTGTCTCTCTCTTTCTCAAAAATAAATAAAAACATTAAAAAATTAAAAAAAAACTTAGCCCAAGGATAAAACACCCAGCAGAGTATTAAAAAAAAAAAAAAAAAAAAAAAAAAAAATCTGTACATGCCCTTACTGAGCCACACAACACTCCTACAAGACCCTCATAAACATGAGCTCCAAAGATTAGACACACACACGTGCATGCACATGTGCGTGTGGAAACAGACTGTCATAGTGGAGGCATAATGAGAGCATGGTCAGATTTTAAGAACTTCAGATAACAAATTATTGAATAAAGATTATACAACATATATGTTTTAAACAAAGACAAAAGTAGGAATCGATATGATAAAGGCTATCAAAATAGAGCACAGTTTTTTTTAAAGTGAAACCTGTGGGAATGAAAAACTGTAGTTCTAAAAGTTTAAATGACAGACTAGAAACAGCAAAAGAGAGAATTGCTGACCTGGATGTTTGATCTGAAGAAACTGCCTGGAATGTAGCATAGTGGGATGAAGAGAGAGAAGATTGAATGTGTGGATAAGAGACATGGTAGACAGCATGAGAAGTGCCAGGATACAGGTAATCACAGATTTGGAGGCGATCCCAAGGAGATGACTCTCTTAGTGAGCTCATCCAGCGTTCATAGCCAATTATCCATCTTCTATATCTAGACTAGACTGCTCTCCTGAGCTCCAAACCTGTTAACGTGGCATCTCCATTTGAATGTCTGTTAAGACATCTACAAATCACCATGCTTAAAACTAAATGCCTAATTGTCCCCCAGATATGCCCCACCCAAAGTCTCCCTAATCTCAGCCCAATTGCTCAGGCTAAATCCTTAGTAGTTTTATACTTCTCTTCCCCCCAACACCCCATATCAAATCCGTCAAGCGATCCAATGGACTTTACCTTCCTACTACATTAAAAATTTGGGGCGCCTGGGTGGCGCAGTCGGTTAAGCGTCCGACTTCAGCCAGGTCACGATCTCGCGGTCTGGGAGTTCGAGCCCCGCGTCAGGCCCTGGGCTGATGGCTCAGAGCCTGGAGCCTGTTTCCGATTCTCTGTCTCCCTCTCTCTCTGCCCCTCCCCCGTTCATGCTCTGTCTCTCTGTCCTAAAAATAAATAAACGTTGGAAAAAAAAATTTAAAAAAAAATTTTGACCACTTCCTACTTCTACTGCCCCTGTTCTGACCTAAGCCATTGTCATCTCTTGCCTGGATATTGCAGCAACTTCCTATGTCCTTGCTTCCTCCCCTGCTCTAATGTAGTCCATTTCCAGAACAGCTGCCTGGTTGATCCTTTTGAAATAGAAGTTAGACCACGTGACACATCTTTTCAAACGTCACATGGTTCCTGTTTCTCCCAGAGTGAAACCCAATTCCTCAAAGCAACTCGAAGGCCCTACATGATTTTGTCTCCTATGACTTCACTCTCTTCTCTCTTCTCCCCCTTGCTCACTATGCTCCAGCTATGTGGGCCTCCTTACTGTTCTTCAGACATGCCCGGGAGCTCCTGCCTCAGGACCTTTGTACTTACTGGCTGTTTTCCTCTGCCTGAAATATTCTCCCAGATGTCCACATGGCTCACTCTCTCACTTCCTTCAAGTCTTTGCTTAAATGTCACCTTCTGTAGCAGATACTGCCATGCCTTGATCATAACCCCATGCACTTGCCATTCCTGCTAGTAGGTTCCCACCGAAAGCATCTGTAGCTTTTTACATTAAGGCTTTCTCAACCATAGGTACTTATTTGCTGCAAAGTGGGCCCGAATGCCAGAGAGTTAACACATTTAGGAGCAACTCAACCAGTGAGTTGGTAGATGAGCACCCTTACCTCCTCTCCCTTGGTGGGACAACTCTGAGACAGGTTCTCCACTATTTCCTGGGACTCCCCAATAAAAGTACAAATTCACACACAGATGAATGGAACCAAAGGGGGAAAAAAGATGGTTGCTATGTATCGTGGGATTTTTAGTGAAATAATATGACAAAATCATTAAAGTAATTAATGATAGAATTTTTAATGATCTATGTTATAAAAGTATAATGAAAAGGATAAGATTGGACCATTATAGCACCCAAGTTTCCTTCAGAAGTGCAGAGATTCAAGATAGGATAAAGAACTCCGGGTAGTCCTTCCATGTCCTCCACAATCTGTAACCTGGAGGGCTCAGACACCTCTGTTGTTGTGTCCCTGGCATCGTATGGAGGTACTAATCCACTCACCGCCCCCCACCCACGGCCCCCATCAGCTGGGCCTGGGGAGTCTCACTCTGGACTTGACTTTTTTTTTTTTTTTAATGTTTATTTTTGAGAGAGAAAGAGAGAGACAGATCGTGAGTGGGGGAGGGGAAGAGAGAGAGGGAGACACAGAATCCAAAGCAGGCTCCAGGTTCTGAGCCATCAGCACAGAGCCTGATGCAGGGCTCAAACTCATGAACTTCAAGATCATGACCTGAGCTGAAGTCGGACGCTCAACCTACTGAGCCACCCAGGCACCCCTGGACTTGACTCTTGATAGCAGGCTGCACGTATCTGAGGCAATACATTATAGGGGTAGAGCACAGGCTTTGGGCCAAGACATACAAGTTAAACTGGGACTCCATATCTTACTGGCATGGAACCTGGGTCAAGGTGTCCAATTTCCCAGCCTTTTTTCATGTGTAAAACAATGATTAATAATCCTGGCACCATGTATGTCTAGCGCACAGCTGGGCCTCAACCAAGTACAAAAGAAGGATATGAATGTGCCCAGCATTATGTCTGATAAATGGTGAACGTACAAACATACACCCCCCCCCAAACGTTGGGCTCCGTTTCCACTCCCCAAAATGGATTTTGAATTTGAAAAGGCAGCATTGAGACTGGCATTATCTTTCTTTAATTAACCCTGATTCTGATGGCCTTTAAAGACCAATCCAAAAGCTGACAGTAGAGAGAAGTAGTTGCTAAAAATATACCTGGTGTCATCGTGGGTGGTGTTACTGGAGATCAGGCATCTAGAGTTAGGGAAGTAGTCGTCCCACTGTATACCACGTCAGCCAGGCTGCACTTGGAACTTCACGTTGGGGGCTGGAGGCAGGGTTTTAGCTGGACAGACTGCCCAGTGGAGGGTGACCAGCATCACGAAGGGCTCTGAAAACACTGTCAAGTAAGGGATAGTCACAGAAATTAAAGATATTCAATCTGAGAAGTGAAGTCCAAAGCGGGCTGTGGGACAGGGGTGGGGGTAGTGGATTTTCTGTCCCCTCAGGAGGAAAAAACAAGATGAAGTTTCTAAACCCAGAATGGATGGTCTTGGTGCAAACTGGGCCCCCAGTCCCTGGAGGATGCAAGTCATGTCTGAGCAGCCCCAGTGAAGGTCCACGTGAAAGGAATCCTTAAACCAGGAAGACAGGACTTTGAGGCCTCTGAGTTCCTTCTAAATTTAAATTCTGTGATTCTGTAAAAGCAGGTGTGAAAAAGCTAATTCACATATCCAATACATAGATACATTTATATTTGAATAAAAAAAGACTAAAATGTTGAAAGGTCAATGGTTGTTTCCGGATGAAACTAGAAGTGATGTTTTTCCCTTTTGAAATTTTAATTTATTAAATATGAATTGCTATTATTAACGAAAATATCTAATTTATAAATAATATTTTAATAAAAACAATCTGTCTACGAGCAGATGACAGACACTTCTGCCAGCTCAGCTTTCCAACAATAAAGGGAGAGGCACCCTGTTTGCAGAAACGTATCCGCAAAGGCTAGAAGGAAAAAGGGGGTCTTACACATAGGGAAGGGGCTTCCCTCGAGGCCAGACACGACAGTGTGATTTGATGACTTAAGTGGCTTGTGAGAGATGGATTTCTGAACACAGGTGGGATTTTCCTGTTACAAGTTGCTTGAAGGACAATCTGTTCGAGCCAGAAAAGCTATAAAAGGCATTACGAAGCTGGGGTTGTGTGTGTGTGTGTGTGTGTGTGTGTGTGTGTGTGTGTATGTGTGTGTGTGTGTGTGTGTGTGGAGTAGACAAGTACTATTCTTAAATTTGGGGATGATTTACTATGGGCCGGTGCCCTGGCCTTCTGCAGAAAGTGGGCAAGTTGAACGAGAGAACGTGTGGGGCCACACATGTGGCCAGGTGTACGAGAAAGTAACACTGGATCTGAGAACTGCAAGTCCAGATGCTGCCACTCAGCGTCTGGGACCTTGGGCACACTTCTCTGAGTCTCAGTCTCTACATCTGTAAAAAGGAGGCAGCAGCTATCACTGCCCTCTCCACTACAGGGACGCTAAAAGGATCATGGGAGATAAAGTCTATGAAGACTTCACAATGCCTAAAGCCTTCCATAAATATCTGTTATTATTCCTGTTCCCCCAGAATGGCAGAAAGCTGCATAAGGTAAGATTCCCTTCTGTTGGGGTGGGGGCCTTAGAAAAGAATGGGAGTTTTGACATCTAGGAAGAACATTAAAAAGCCCCAGAGCTACAGAAAAACATGGTGGTGGCAGCAGCAATGGTGTCCAAAGCTAAGAAAGATTTTGGACCTGAGACGTCACTTTTCTCAAACCTGACACGAAACCAGGTCTTCTGCAGCACAAGCCTGGATGTTAGTGAGAGGAACATCTAATGGTATTTAGGTGTTTCCATTCCTTTAAATCTTTTCACCTAAATTTTGTTACCATCTGTTTGAGTATTCTAATATTAGTAAAGATGTATAATTAGCTCCTGGAACAGACCTCGTGGTCTTCTGCCAATGCCACTTTCTTGAAAAGCTCCAGAAGCAGAAAATGACTTAAGAGCCCTTCCCTTGATGGTCGGCAATCCTACAATTCTGGGGGCCTGTGATTCTAGGTCAATCCCACACACACAAAATAAAGCAAGCCAAGAATCCAAGGACAAAGAGGATGCAGATTAACTCAAACATTATTTTAAGATTAGACTCTAAATTGAAAAAGAAAAAACCTGTTACAAACATGCCAAAAAAAATTAGCCAATAAAGAAAAAGAGAAGTGCATTTCTTTGAGTTCGGATGCAGCTGTTCTTTTTTTTAAATGTTTGTTTGTTTGTTTGTTTGTTTGTTTAGAAAGTGAGGAAGGGGCAGAGAAAGAGGGAGTCAGAGATACTCAAGCAGGCTCCACTCTGTCAGCACAGATCCTGACGTAGGGCTTGATACCATGAACCGTGAGACCTTGACCTGATCTGAAATCAAGAGTCAGGACACTTAACCAACTGAGCCACCCAGGTCCCCCATGACACAGCTGTTCTTACCCCTGGTTGCACAATATAATTATCTAGGGTGCTTTTATAAAATCCTGATGCCTAAGGCACATCCTAGACCAATTAAATCAGAGCCTCTGGGATCTGGGCGTCAGTATTTTTTAAAAGCCCCGAAGTGTTTCTAATGTGTACATTCAGTTGAGACTACTCTGGTAGAAGGAGTACTGGACATTTATTTGTTTTTCACCTTTGATATATTCCCTGATGAATATGGTGATAAATTTTTTTGTTAATCTTAGCAATTATTTAATATCATATACTATCTTAGGAACAAGCATAGAAGCTTCTCTGCTGATTAACTTTCAATTCACAAACTTCCATAATTTCTGATTATAAAAATCCAAATACTCAAAGGGAATACCTGGGCACGTGTAGGTTGTATATGTGCACAGGTGACTCTGATTTGCAGTCAAGACTGAGAGACATTGTGACAGGTGTTCCATAAACATTGAAATAGATGGGTGTGTGGGGCACCTGGGTGGTTCAGTCGGTTAAGCATGTGACTCTTGGTTTTGACTCAGGTCATGATCTCACAGTTTCCATGAGTTTGAACCCTGTGTTGAGCTCTGTGCTGACAGTGCAGAGCCTGCTTGGGATTCGTGCTCTCCCTCTCTCTCAAAAAAATAAATAATAAATAATACTTAAAAAAATAGATGGGTGTGGGTGTATGGGTGGGTAGGTTGTTGGATGGGGACATATGAGGGATTCTCAATCTTGGCTCTACTGACATTTTAGGTCAATTATTTGTTGGAGGAGATCCTGTGTGTTGTAGGATGTTTATCAGCATCTCCGACCATTATCCACAAGATGCCAGAAACATCCCCCAGTTATACAGCCCAAAATGTCTTTAGACATTTCCAAATGTTCTCTGGGGACAGAACTGCCCTGGTTTAAGAACGACTGGAGTAGGGGCGCCTGGGTGGCGCAGTCGGTTAAGTGTCCGGCTTCGGCCAGGTCGCGATCTCGCGGTCTGTGAGTTCGAGCCCCGCGTCAGGCTCTGGGCTGATGGCTCAGAGCCTGGAGCCTGTTTCCGATTCTGTGTCTCCCTCTCTCTGCCCCTCCCCTGTTCATGCTCTGTCTCTCTCTGTCCCAAAAATAAATAAACGTTGAAAAAAATTTAAAAAAAAAAAAAAAGAACGACTGGAGTAGATTAATGAATGGGTAGATGGATGGATGGATGGATGGGTGGAAAGATGGTTGGATAGGAGGAAGGGTTATATTCTCCTTTGAACTAGCTATAACATGTTAGCGGTGCCCTCATTAATTAAGGAGTTAAAAAAAATCTTTGACACATGTTCATTTTATATCTGTAGGATAATCATGATTACAACTTCTTTGAAAAATTCTCCTTTAACAGATAAATGGGCATTATTCTTCAGTGTTAGGAGAAAATCAGTTGGCTTATGTTTTCTGGAGGACTCTTAGGCAGTGTATTTCCAGAGCCTTAAAATATACATATTGGTACATACTATATACATTAGTACCTACATTTTGGATACAAATTTGGCAATACCTTAACACTTTTAATTGTGTATACCAGAGTTCTACTATAAACACATTTTGTTCAAATGCAGATTTTAATTATTATTTTATTTTAAAATTATTATACAATTATTTTAATTATACTATATAATAATCATAATTATTTTATTTTAGTAACCAAATTTCAAAAATTCAACATTTTAATACTTATGGACATTGGAATTTCCAAGCAGCTTTGGCTGCTCAACTGCTATGTGTACTTCGGAGATACTAAAAAGACATTCACATTGTTCAAAAAAGAACAACAGACCAAAAACAGAGTCACTTGCCCCCACAGCAAACCAAGATGGAATTGCAGTTTCAGTGACTTCCAGGAAGGTGACCTTTAACCAGTTGATCTGGGATTACCTGGTCAGCACCAGTGAAGTCATCTGCATGAGACACCCTCCCCACCAAAGAAACCTTGTCTGAGAGGCACCTGAGTGGCTCAGTCAGTTAAGTGTCTGACTTGATTTTGGCTCACAATGTCATGGTTCATGAGATGGAGCCCTGCATTGGGCTCTGAGCTGACAGCACTGAGCCTGCTTGGGGTTCTCTCTCTCTCCCTCTCTCTCTCTCTGCCTGTCCCCAGCTTACACAGTCTCTCTCAAAATAAACAAATAAACTTAAAAGAAAGAAAAGAAACGTTGTCTGAGATAATCCACTCTTTGTTAGTAAACTTCCTTCCCAGCCCCTCTACAAAAGCCTCCCATTTTGCACAGCTCCTTTTGAATGCCTTTCTACTTGCTGAATGGACTGCTGCTAATTCATGAATCAATGAAGAAAGCCAGTGAGATGCTCAGCTTTACTCAGATGAATTTTGTTATACACAGCTTTCAGCAAAGGTGAGTGGAGGAGCCAGATTTATGTCCACAGGTTCTGCAGTAAGGGGTTCAGCTGACAGTGATGTCCTCAAATTACTAAAGTTTCCTTCTTCCCGAATAGTAATTGGGTAAATAAAGATTTCTCACCTCTTTGATTCCTGGACTTGAGACCAGGGTGAGGATACCATTTCTTTGAGGTAAACACACAGACTACAGAGTTTTTGCTCTGCTTGAAGAGGATGCTTAGTGAATATTAGGTGTATCATTGCCACTTTTGCATTTTTATTTTTTTCGTTTATTTAGAGAGAAGAGAGAGAGACAGTGGGGGAGGGGAAGAGAGAGGGATAGAGAGAATCCCAAGCAGGATCTGTACTGTCAGCGCAGACCCCAACACAGGGCTCGAACTCAAGAACTGTGAGATCATGACCTGAGCTGAAGTCAAGAGTCGGACGCTCAACAGATTGAGCCACCCAAGCACCCCTATGTATTTTTATTTTTATCTTTTAAATTTTTTTGATTTTTTAAATT